CTAGGACATCCCCTACCTTTTCTTTTCTTTGGACTCCTGAAATAACTGTTCCTACTTGAGCCACTCCCACTTTTTTTTTTCCCCCGTCCTACCGTGAAAACCTAAACCTTGAAATCTTGAAGACTAGAACCACTGATCATTATCGAGAGTTTTCTCAAGTGACTCCAATCATTTGAGATGTAATTAACTATAGGGGCTTGCCTTTATAGGGAACTTGGAACCCAAGTAAAATAAACCCTATTTAATTTTTGTATTATATATGGGAACTTGTCGGTCATACATAAAAGGTTCGCAGACCAAGCAGAGGTCACAAATCTCTTAAGTTGGAGGATTAGGTCTATCGCCGAGGTCTACACTTATCTTTCGGGAATGTGTAGTATTCGCGGCATCGGACACGATTATGCAAACTATTGGACAAATGATATCCATTTGGTCTCATTTTTCAAAAATTAAAATATACTACTTTAAAACTCAAATTATATATCTATTAAATTTTATTAAATTTCAAAAATTATTTTCATATTCATATTTTCAAATCATCGAAAAAGTTGACCGACAGACCGATATAGGGAACTTTAAGTTGAGCAAAAAGGAGTTCATAATTTCTAAAGGTGAGGGTCTCTTTTCTAGTCTTCTAGGAATAGTCAACAGAAAAGTCGTATGGCTAGATTTTAGGCTGCTAAAGAGAAAAAAATTAAACATCAACCAAAAGTGAGGTCAACATTAATATTACTTGCTTTCCTCTGATTTTTCATCTTAATGACAACTTTATAAGCCCACAATTAACACTAAGTTTATCTTTAATTTAGGAATTGTTTGCCTGACAATCAAATTTATATGTAAATCACAATGTACTTATATTTATCAATGTCAATTTACTTCCGATTGAATTTTCAAGTTATTATTGCTGTTATTATTCTCATATTATAGTACAATTTAAATTTTATTATTCTGGTTTCCATTTAATAATTTATTTTAAGGTTTTCTTATCATTAAATCATCAATTTGATGGAGCATTAATATTCAACACCTGTATAAACATTTTTACAGAAGTTTCTGATACAGCATATATACCTCAATATCCTCGCTATTTATCTTCTAATCCAACCAAATTAGTTGTAATCACTAATTTTAATCCTCCTTATAGTAGCTCTAATCAATTCAAAGAAAAATTGTGATATAATTAAACATAGAATTTAGAAATTTCAAATAAAAATTTAATAAAAACATATTACCTATTTATGTATATTTAAAAAGCTTCTAAAAATTTAAAATTTGATATTCATACCTTAAAACTTCCTCTTTTCCCCTTCTAACTTTTCTAACATTGACTTCCAAACAAAACCCTAAAAAAAATAATGCAATCGTTAAGCACAGATCTAAACTTCTAAAAATTTAACATGTGATATCCATACCTCAATCCTCCCTTACTCGGTTGCGGGGTCACCCGCACTCGCTTTCGCTCTCTAACTCTCTCCCATGCTCTCTTTTTCATTCGAGCAAGAATCTCGCGCTCTCTTTTTCATTCGAGCAAGAGCATTAAGCCCTCGGCCATTTCTCGCGAGAAGTGGCATGCGGATCCACTTCAGATAAATAACGACACCAAATTTAATTGGTGTCATTAGGTAATTTATTATTATTTTTATTTTTTAACCTAAATTAATGCATATTTAACTTAATCTTAACCATTATTAATTTATTTAGCCTATCTCATTAATTAAATAATTAATTTTATTAATTTCTTTATTTTAATTTTTTTCTCAATTAATTTAATTAATTATTATCATTAAAAAAATATTAATATTACATGATATTAGTCAAACTTGATATAATTTAGACCACTATAGTGGCATGATTTTTAATTGAATGTATGACTTTCATGTTTCTTAATTTCCATGCATTAGTTTAATTATGCGACTCTTAAACTATCATCCGCACGAATTTATGTGTTTTCCAGTTTCATCTCAAGTATTAGAACATGTTCGTATGATTTTGTGCTTCTTATTGAGTTTGAGATTCGCTAATTAAGAGGTTGTGAAGGAAAAGTGGCATAATTAGGCCAAAGAAAACAACAGTTATGTGGTTAGAAGACTGTTCAAAGAGATCTTAGCTATTTTGAATTTACACCTAATACAACATTGACCAGAACTTGTAAGAAATTCAAAAAGCAAATGACAAAAATTGCTATAATCTAGCAAACGATGGCATTAATCACTCAAAATTCATTTGAAAGTGTTTTGGTTAAAGTGCAAGGGTAGTAGCCCAGAGGGGCTAGAAATCCATTGTCGACAATGCTATAATTACACCAAACAATAGAAGCTGGTCACAAAAATGAATGAAAAAACATTAGCATTGTTATGGATTAAATAAATGAGTAAAAAACAACTTGTGCAAAAGTCAAATTTGGAAGGAAGAATAAAATTGACCTAAATGCTTCATTATGTCATGATAAGACAACTAAATAAAAAGTTCCCAATGAATAAAGATTAGCATTTAACTCACAAGAATTGCATGACAGTGAAGCTGGTGCATCCATCCCCAAACAAAAATTGCGGCTCCAAGCCACTGGCACCAACCCAAATAAAAGAGCGGCTTCAAAAGTTCCCAGTGAAAGAACTCGACATCTGGCATATGAGACCGTCCTTTGACAATAAATTCCACTATTTGACTGCCTACATAATTAATTGCCTCTACAGCACACGTACTTGCAATAGAAAGTGGTGCTGCAGTATAGAAGCTGGCACAAAAAAAATGAATAAAAAAATATTAATATTGTTGGAATCAAATAAATGAGTAAATGAGAAACAATTTGTGCAAAGAAAAAGTGGAAGGACCAAAATGCATTAGTAATTGGAAATCCAAAACAATATTCAAGACCACATTAATACTAAAGCAAGAAGATACACTGCTCATCAGACCTTTCAAAGCAAGAAAAACAAGATTCGGAAATAAGTACACATTATATCTAATGGAATGTTGTTTGCCAAACTTATACTAGATTTCAAGTAATAACCATCATTATAGGGTATAAAATATTTGCAAAGGAATCTATTCACAAATCAGAATAAGGGGGCAATTTCATTTCATAAATGACTTGGGACTCAAAGAAAAGTAATTATGCTTATATTTAATCCAAAAAAACTATATTCACAATACTCCGGTATCTGTAATTTCATAGCTATTGAGAATAATCACTCATTCTGATGCATTTGCACGCCAAAATAAGTAACTAAGCATCACGGCTTGAGAATGAGATGGCTTTGGTTAGACTTCTCGTCTCTTTTTCTTTATTCTGTTTTTTTCTTATTTCGCGCGGGCACCTAAACTTCAATTATACATATATGCCACCTTACCTATCAATAAAAAGGTGTATTTAACTTTTTCAAAGTTAAAATGGTGGTGTTTTTGATGTGATATGATAGATTTGAGTGGTATAGATGTAGAATGCATAGCCCCACCCCCACACTTTTTTTTGGTATGCACATGAGCAAAAGCGTTTCTCTTCACAAAAAATAAATAAATAAATAAATATTCTATCCATGGAAATTCTTTCTTTATTTTAAATGTGCGAGTTTATTTTCCTGAAGAGGTTCAGATTAAATCAGAAGCATGTTAGAAAACAATAAAATTTTGGCAAAAGAGCAAACATTAACATCTATGGTTAAAACACAGAATCGGTCCTCTCAAGGAATATAAGCTAGCATAATAGAAAGGTAAACAATATTTTAGTTTACTTCATTGATATAAATTAAAAATAAATAAAATCTCATCATCAACTTCTCTTGATAAATGGATACCATGAAAGATACCAGAGCTAACACAAACCACAATAGAAAAATCAAATAGGAAATTTATAATAAAACACACTTGAATGGGGAAATATAACACACGCGACACGCAAACTCACGTTAAGGCGGAACCCGCATGATGGTGGTGGCGGTTAGGGCGAATGGAGAGGTGGTTGCAAGATAGAGAAAGGATTTACAGGCTGTGGATGAGGACAGGAAGCGAATATGCGCAGCTGGACGATAATCCAAACAGCGGCAGTTTGCTAATTGAGGAGGTTGGACCACAGAAAAACATAAAAGGGGAGGCCTTGCGGCTGCAGCAGCGACGGTGGAGGGTTGGCGGTAGATTTGGAAGGACAGCAAGGATTGTGAAAGGGAGGTGGCTAAGACAGCAATGGCAGCAAACGAGAAAACTGGTATCGTCAGGAACTTAGCCCGGAATGCAAATACTGTAGGACGAATAGCATTGACGGTTGTTCTATGCAGCTACAACAGGGAACGACAAGTAAGAGTAGTGTAGCGAGGATATATGATGGGGAGTAAGCAAGATGATCACCACCTCAGAAGAGAGATACAGCCGGAGCACCACCCAATCCATCGAATACAGCCCTCAAAGGGAGAAAACGGATGTCGGTGGCTGTACTGATGAAAATATGAGCTAAAAACTACTTAAAAACACAAAAACTGCATATTTATAGAGTTAGGGTAAGTAGGAATGCACCCCACTCACTCCCAATAGAAGAAAAATGTATGTAAAGGAGATGGTCAATCGGTCCTCTTGGACAGATCCAAGCCTCCCTGCTCATAGGAGTTTGTGGTACTGTAGCAATATTGTAGTAATTGTCGTAAAAAATGTCTCATGATCGCTCCCGCGTCAGTCTCCCACGGTTGGAGGAGTTTTGACCACATTTGTCAAAGCTTTTGTGCCCTCATAGTAGTCAGATCAACCCTGTTAAAGGTAGTAAAAATGTTACGAGATTTTGATAAGACAACCATGTAAGCATTGTCAATCCAAAGCACATTCTAATAAAATAAGTATACAACGATTTTTGACACAGCTTGAGGTGGAGTTGGATAACGACTTAGATTCTCAAGAGCCCGATCCCAAGTAAATCTACAATCCGCTTCTCCTCATCCTCATACTTGGTTGGATATATCTGCTAACAAAGTCTGTCAAGACCAATCAACTCTAGGATGAAATCTATGATATGTTGGACTACATTGAAGTATAACCACTCAAGATATGTCTCTTCTTCTTTTTCTTTGAAAGAACCTGGATCTCACTATAGGATATTCCTTCCTACAAAGCTCCTAAGACGATCTTCAACATTGTGGTTCATCCATCCTGCCTGATCAACTATTGGTAAGTATACTGTTGAACTGAATTTAACACTCAAATAACTAACTATGAGCTCCTAGAAGTGCCATAAAAGAGTCTCCTCTCGAACATATTGGATCTCCCTCAGAAAATAACTTATGCATCTGAAAAGTCAGATTTTTTTCCTATCTGAGATTGCTCTGTGTCTAATATTGGCTCCTCAAATTCATGGCCCTTTTTGACATTCAATACCAATTTTGTTGATGCTCCTCTCAGTGTCTACAAAACGTTAGCTGATACATCACAATCTTATACTCTGCATTGTCGGCCGTTTTTTTCTTTAACTTCGTGGTTTGAAAAAGTGATGATTTTGTAATTTTGAAAATAATTTAAATATGAATATAATCTTTTTTATTTTTTAAATATAACATTTTAATTTTAAAAATAGATGAGATCAAGCGGGTCTCACATTTTAAATAATTTAGATGATTGAATATAATACTACAAGTAATACACTTATCCCGAAGAATAAATATATCACTTGTAATGGGAATTCAATCACCTAGACTAAAGAATTTGTGACATCTGCTTTGGTCTGCAAAATATTTTATAAAAAGGCCAACAAGTTCCCCTACCTAACATAAAAAATTAGATAGGGTTTATTTTATCTGGGTTCCAGGTTCCCTATAGAGGCAAGTCACTATAGTTAATTACATCTTAAATGACTGGAGATCACTTAAGAAAACTTTCGATTAAGATCAAGTGATTTTGCCTTCAAGATTTCAAAGTTTAGGTTTTCGCGGTTGGACATGGGAAAATCAAACGGGAATGACTCAAAATAGGAACAATTATTTAAGGAATCCAAAGGGAAGAAAAGTAGGGAATATCACAGATCCAGGAGAAACCCGGAGATGTCCCAACTATCTTATTGTTCGGTTGTATGTCTTTTGAAATGATTTAATTTGATATTTCAATCCTGCAAATTATTTATGATTTAGGACTTATGTTTACACAATATCGGACTGTGCAAATAGCCTAAAAAGACAGGAGGATTTACACCGTATCGCACGATAACCTCGGAATTCTAAAATGTTAGGACTTATAATTGTAAAACGGAATTGTACAAAAAGCCTAAAGAGTGATCCTATGCGTTGTTATTTAAACTAAAGAAGGTGATAAGTGATGTGAATGTGTTTTGTTGTTGCAGATCCACCTTGAAGTTATTCCTCGTCGTGCTGCCCACGATATTCGCTTGATATCCATATTGGTCTGCGAAATATTTTATAAAAAGGCCAACAAGTTCCCCTACCTAACATAAAAAATTAGATAGGGTTTATTTTATCTGGTTCCAGGTTCCCTATAGAGGCAAGTCACTATAGTTAATTACATCTTAAATGACTGGAGATCACTTAAGAAAACTTTCGATTAAGATCAAGTGATTTTGCCTTCAAGATTTCAAAGTTTAGGTTTTCGCGGTTGGACATGGGAAAATCAAACGGGAATGACTCAAAATAGGAACAATTATTTAAGGAATCCAAAGGGAAGAAAAGTAGGGAATATCACAGATCCAGGAGAAACCCGGAGATGTCCCAACTATCTTATTGTTCGGTTGTATGTCTTTTGAAATGATTTAATTTGATATTTCAATCCTGCAAATTATTTATGATTTAGGACTTATGTTTACACAATATCGGACTGTGCAAATAGCCTAAAAAGACAGGAGGATTTACACCGTATCGCACGATAACCTCGGAATTCTAAAATGTTAGGACTTATAATTGTAAAACGGAATTGTACAAAAAGCCTAAAGAGTGATCCTATGCGTTGTTATTTAAACTAAAGAAGGTGATAAGTGATGTGAATGTGTTTTGTTGTTGCAGATCCACCTTGAAGTTATTCCTCGTCGTGCTGCCCACGATATTCGCTTCAAGCTCCTTGCCGCGACGAGTTTAAGTTTTCTAGGGTGTCCAGTTATGATGTCAAATCACACGACCATATGGTTGTAGTCTTCTAAATGTCCTATATAAAAGAAAGCATGCTTAAAGCTATTTAATATAAAATGTGCAATACAGAACAAACAGTAGGATGCACGTAGAACAGTAGCAGGTAGAGACGGGAATAGTATAACATGCTGTACAGTATAGTAGCAGACAGAAACAGGAATATTATAACATGCCGTTTAGGAAGAACAGTAGCAGGTAAAAACAGGAATAGTATAACATGCTATACAGGAAGAACAGTAGCAGGTAGAAACAGGAAAAATATAACATGCTGTACAGAAAGAACAGTAGCAGGTAGAAACAGGAAAAATATAACATGCTATACAGAAAGAACAATAGCAGGTAGAAACAGGAAAATGAAGCGCTGTAAAAATGTAAAGCAAACCTGTACGCCCGTGAGATCCGATGTTCCTTAAGTATAACAAGCCTAAATGCATCTCCAAAAGCAAAGTCCGAAAGAAAACGTCATCCAGGAAATCCGAGGAAAAGCGGAAAACTCGAGAAAAATATGACAGAAAACTCGAGAAAACCAACGAGAAAAGATTTAAATAAAAGAAAAGAAAAAGAATCCACAAAAATCTTACAGAAATCCCGAATAAAAAAAAAAGTAACACGAGTGTCATGTCCCAAA